CCCCAAAACCCCAAAACCCCAAAACCCCAAAACCCCAAAACCCCAATGATAATATATTATACTTAAAATGTCACAAGAGGTTGTATCACCCGTCAAGAAGTTCTATGAACGCCTTCACAAGGCCAAGCTGGTCCAAAAGAGTAAGGATACCTCTATTTTACTGAAATCTCAGCTATTTTTATAGCTCCTAGAGCTTAGATTTTATAGAAAGACAGATCTTTGGAAAAATGAAGACAAGTCTGAAACCGACTAAAATAATTATAACTCGTAAGAAGAAAAGTGTCAAAGCGAATAGTAAGTATAACTCCTGTGGCTAGCATCATGAATCATGACTTTAGAGTCACCGAAAATTAATCATAAAAGCTTGTGGCTAGGAAAATAAGGAAAGAGGAAGAAAACTCACTATACCTAACTTCAGAGAAACAACAACTGAGTAGGTTTTTGGCGCTGATCAGTAGGGAAGGAAGTCCTTTCTCTAGGCAAGAAGTTTCTACACCTGGTAAGGAATGTCAAGAGACAAGGATTGACCAGTTTTAGTTAACATCAGGGCAGAAATCAGCTTGCCAAAATCGACCTTCTCAACACCTAATTTGAAGGTATTTGTTTGCCAACTAAATATAGGGTCGGAAGACATGAACTCCAGCGAATTTGAGATTACCCAGAACTTTTAAGTAAGTTTGATCAAATTACATATTAGGTTACCTCCAAAACCTAGCAGAAGAATTTCAAAATCAAGGCAGCATTCAAATAAACTAAGACTAATTATAAAGAAGGCTGATGAATATCTAAAACGTAGGCTTCCTACTTGATGGCTTATAGAGTCTAAACTTGAGAGAAGCGGGAGTCAGATGAAGCCAGAGCTTCCAATTCCCAAGAAGAACTCCAAGAGATCCTTGTGGATACAGAACTGTGACAAGTCAAGTACTTATATTAACCTTATTATTCTTTAATCTTGCTATAGAAGATATCAGGAACCGAAAGTTGATGACATTATATTCCTCGACCACTCTGAACATGGATATTCCAAAGGGAGAGAGCTTTAAGACAACCCAAGATACGTTCCTTAAGAACTCCAGCTTCAGTAGGCTTGCCTTCAACAAGAAGGACAATGACAAGTATGTTAGGATGTATAACTCTCTAGGTCTGAGTCGTTCGAATCCCAATCATCTAACGAAGAAACCGAGAGTAACTTATTCTGATTATGTACATAGAAAAAGATAACTCCTCAAACATGCCGTTTCGGTATGACCGAAGAGAGGTCTTGGAGACCAATACTAGGAAAAGTCTGTGGACCAAGAACATTGTGGTATGTACAACACTCAAGATCCTTTATAGTGCAATATAATGAACCACAAAAAGTTGAGTACTGTAATACATCTGAAGAGCTAACTTCAGTTTGTTAAAAGAAAGCAGGGGTTTTGGGGTTTTGGGGTTTTGGGGTTTTGGGG